ATTCCAATTTAATGTATTCTCCTTGTTCTCCAACATTTGTGTCATAACTATAGTTCTAATACTTTCAAATATAGACACAATGGGCAATTCTCTAGCCTTAAGAATGTATGAGTTAAAACATTCACGTATATTATTGAGCAAAGTGTCACATTTAGGTATAAAACTAAAATGAGATCTTGACCACTCAGTTGGAGGCTTCTCACTTAACCATTTATACACTGTTACATTTAAGTTCTCTAAATCTATCATCATGAACTTGAATTGGTTAAGGGTGCTTGCCCTTCCTGCTACCCATAAGGCATTCTTCTGAGTCATGCTAGTGCCAATTTGAAATTTTGATTGTTTTCCCCATCAAAATAGACAAATTTTCAACAACTTTTTTGAACTCCTTCCCTCTAAATAGCATACTTATTTGGAAATAGTTGGTACTGGAATCTGTCATTGGATTGAAAGTTGATCATTTCCGAATTTCATCTTCATCAATCATGAAGACTAGCTACATCACCTGAATCCACATAATCATGGAACGATCGGAGACTTTCCCGAATATAATATGATACCAAGTTTGAGTACTGTCGGGAAGTTAGTTTTCCCATATTACATGAAATTTACTAAATCATTCACATTGAAATATGGAGGCAAGAACACATGGTTCGACTGTTACTGTATATTCCTACCTATTAACCATCCGTTCTGACGAAGCAAGTTGAGAAGTCGCAGTCTCCACGAAGATTAACAGATGATTAGATTTTGAAAAGAGTTGGAATGACACCTACAATTATTGATGTAGTGACACTAGTTGAGTACTGATTCTCGGGTTATGGAGTACACCATAATTGTAAGTGTTATAATATAATTTCATGCTTCTGTATCTTCGACTCCCCTCCCACAAATAATTACAACATTTTCACACTTAATCGTGTGAGGAGTTCCATCTGATCGCGTTCGAATTGTCTCCCGCTCCGGTCGCCATTCGCTACATGGTTCGTCCGCGCTCCGATCACACTTCTCTGCACCGTCTGCTCGTGCTTCGATCGCCGGCTTAAATGTTATGTTGGACCGATACGGTTGAACTGGTCTAGCCGGTTATTACAATATTCTCTCTTAAAAAAAATTTAATTTTTAAATTTAAATGAAAAAGAAATAATTATACCTTTTGTGGAATAAGTGTTGATGTTGAGCTCTTATTTCTGATTGATTCTTTCATGTGGCATTTTTTTCTTTTTCGCTTACATAAAATTTGTTATGAATTATATATCTTAATTTGCGAGTTATTTCACATCATATTTCAATATTCTTTCAAGCTTTTTTATAATTTTAAATTCATTTTGACACCCCTAATTTGAATGAGTGTAAAGCAAATTCAGATGAATATTTTTTTTCTTTGGTCCGAAGTAAAATGAATATAGTGTAAAATTTAATGATTACGACTGGCGGGTGATAGTAATGGTGGTCAGCGGAGAGTGGCCGTAATGACTAGAGGGTGGTGGTGATGATGGTCGATAGCCAAGGTTAGTTGGTGGCGGCCGACAACGATTACAATGGTGGACAACAACATCATGGTGATGGTTGGAGGGTAGGGATGGCGATGGCGGCAATGGTGGATGGCGGAGGCGGTGGCTAGCAAGTGGGGACGGTGGCGGCCGACGGTGAGTGTTGACCGACAATGGGTGGAGGTCGGTGGCCAGCGATTGGCAACGAGTTGCGGCGGCCGGTTGTGACCATCTTACATGTCGTGTAAACGGTTCTCGCTTAAAATTGTTCGAGAATCGGTCACCTAAAAATGAGCTTAAAAAATTCACTACATTTACTATACTTTGTATTCTTTTTCATCCAACCGAATACTAAACCTTTCAAAACCCATATATTCACTTCACACCCTTTTACTTACAACCAAACAGCCCCTGACAAAAAATTCTGCAACACTTCTTTTCAATCATATTCACAATTTTTTTTAGCTCTATATACATTTTATTACCACCTGGATGAATTGTATGACAAAAAAGATATGTTTTATAAATTATTTCTTCTCTTAAATTATCAAAACTCGAAACATAAATTCTACCTTTATATTTTAATAATTTATCTTCATTTAATATAAAATTTTCCATTTGACCAATCATTACCATATTTATGATTTTCTAAAAATCAATATCATGTGATAATGAATTACATATCTATTTGTTAATGTATTGAATTGTTAGCTAATTCAATCACATGAAATTTGTATCTTTAATATTTATTACTGAAAACAATAATCTTTTCATATCCTTAATTATCTACTCATGTCGAGTGAGTATCCAATTTGCACTACTAGAATTATTTTTACTTAATGCATCTACAATCATGTTTAACTTTAAAGTGTGATATTGTATATTCAAATTATAATCTTTAATGAGTTTTAGCCTTCATTCCTATCTTAAATTGAATTTCTTCTGATTAAATATATATTTCAGACTTTTATGATATGTAAATACTTTACATTTGACTCTATATACGTAATCCCTCAAAATATTGAGGGCAAAAATCACAATTGCTAATTCAAAATTATGGGAAAGAAATTTTTTTTCAGCATATGCCATGACTTTATTGTGTTACATTAAGGTTTCGTTTGAGACAGATTTTTTGTTGCTTCTTAAAACAGCTTTCTAGTACAAAATGAAAAAATTTTGTACTAAAAAGTTATTTTGAGAAGCAATAAAAAAGTCGTCCCAAACGAAGCTTAATACGCATCTTAATCCCCTCAATTAGGTATCACAAAATGTTTGAAATCTCTATATTCCATTCAAATTTTATCATCTTTTATGAAGCAGTTATTATTTGATGAGAATCTTATACAGTTATATGTGAAGCAACAAATAAATATATTACTTAACCTTTTTGCTTTAATATATTCTTTACACTTTAACTTATTAATTTTAATGTCTTCATTCCAACATTTATATGATCCAATATTGAATTGTGCACTATTTTAAAATAAATTTAATAATTAAAAAAATTTAGCCGATCATTAACCCAAATTTTCTACCTCGGCGGCCAAGCCACGCCGCACTCGTGCACCCTGCAAATTCTCAGTCCTCCTGCAACTCTGCGTTGGCTAATTCAACCATTCTGCCCCTCTCATCGGTTGCCACTTCATTTGCCTCACTCTAATACACGCGGCCACGTTACCAAATTCAAATTCATTTCCACGTGGCATTCATTTGTAGGGATAGTATTTAATGCCTTCCAACCAAAGCTGAAGCACGTCCACGTCCTCTCCGGCTATTCAACGCGCTCCTATCTATCGCGCGAAAGCGACTTACGATCGAATCGCAAAAAAATTGTAGCGCAAGCAATCTGAAATGGAAGCCGTTTTCTCGTTTGATATTGTATATTCAAATTATAATCTTTAATGAGTTTTAGCCTTCATTCCTATCTTAAATTGAATTTCTTCTGATTAAATATATATTTCAAACTTTTATGATATGTAAATACTTTACATTTGACTCTATATAAGTAATCCATCAAAATATTGTGAGCAAAAATCACAATTGCTAATTCAAAATTATGGGAAAGAAATTTTTTTTTCTTGTGACTTTAATTATTTTAAAGCATATGCCATGACTTCATTACACTTAAACTTATTAATTTTAATGTCTTCATTCCAACATTTATACGATCCAATATTGAATTGTGCACTATTTTAAAATAAATTTAATAATTAAAAAAATTTAGATTAACAAAATTTTCTACCTCGGCGGCCAAGCCACGCCGCACTCGTGCACCCTGCAAATTCCCAGTTCTCCTGCAACTCTGCGTTGGCTAATTCAACCATTCAGCCCCTCTCATCGGTTGCCACTTCATTTGCCACACTCTACTACAGGCGGCCACGTCACCAAATGCAAATTCATTTCCACGTGGCATTCATTTGTAGGGATAGTATTTAATGCCTTCCAACCAAAGCTGAAGCACGTCCACGTCTCTCTCCGGCTATTCAATGCGCTCCTATCTATCGCGCGAAAGCGACTTACGATCGAATCGCAAAAAAATTGTAGCGCAAGCAATCTGAAATGGAAGCCGTTTTCTCGTTTCGGGAATCTGTGTTCATGGAATTGGTGTCGGAGATTGGATCGGATGTGGAGGCCGAAGAGCGAAACCAGTAAGAATTCCGCTTCGATTGAAGCTTATATTTACCTCCTTGGTCCTCCACCCGCTTGAATGATTCACTGATTTGAAGCAATTTTGAGTGATCTTGTTGAAATTCATCTAATCCAAAGGATTTGGAGATGCGAGGCCTAGTGATACGCTTTAGAATTTTTTCTGGATTCGTTCCTGTGCATATGCAGGAAAACGATTCAGTTTTCCTTTACTGATCGGTGATATGATTCACTTTCTTTCACAGTTTCACTGTCTATACTTTCTCCTCCAAATGTCTCTGTCTACAATTCTGGATGGTTACCTAATTCTCTCTAAATGTCTCAGGCCCAGTGTTCTTTCCTTTTCAAGCATGATCTGACTTCTGAGAATTTTTTCCCGAAATTTGTGGGTTACCCAATCAGTACTCTTCACTATTGAAGTCATCTCTTGATCGATAAAGGAAACGTGAGGGAGCCTTTTTTTCTCGATAATTATGAGCCTAGCTCATAATGGCTAGAGTATTTGTTTTAGATTGGCTGCAGTTGTAGTTGGCACGTCGTGTTCTAGCTCCAGTCTTCCAATAAAAGGTGTCAATGGGGCCGCTCCGATTGTATAAATTCCTCTTTTCTTTTGTTCCTTCATTTAATGCTTTCTGCTTTAGATATAACTGAGGGCATCTACTTCCTTAACTTTGTGAATTATTTAACTAGCTAAACGCTGCTTTTCTCTTTCCATTCAGGCTTCGACTCCTCAGTTTGGCATCGCCCCTACTCAAAGATAACTTTGAGTAATCCCACAGCTTCCTCGGTTTCATCTTAGCTTTTCTTCTTGCTTTTTCTAGGGTTTTCGAATCCCTAGGGTCTAAAATGGAGGTGTGAAAGACAATTTCTTTGAGTTTTTCTTTAGCCTTTTTAACTTTTAGGGTGCAGATCCGAGTCTTCGATTTTCGGTAAGGGGTTTCTTGTTAGGAGATTACTTTGTTGAATATTTAAATGGGTCTGTATTACTATTTTATTCGGTGGTATTTTAGTATGTGTGGTATCCTCGGTTCTTTTCCTGGTTGACAAATCGGACAGGGAGTCTTCCCTGTTTCGTGTTAATTGAGAATGAGACGGGAGGGCAAGTCTTCGAGATCCGAGTCTAACTGTACTGCAAGTAGTTCTATGTTCCTTTCCTTTATTTTTTTCTCCTTTTTTCGTCCCGTGCTCTGCTTCATTTTCAGCCTTGAGAAATTGCTCTTGATTGTTTGGAATTTCAGCAATTTTTCGTAATTTGAATTCTAACAGATTTTGTGGAAATTGTAGAATTGCTAGAGACTAAATAGATTCTTTCTTAGCGTACCTTTTATTTGATTCAAAAGTCATGTGGCTTATGAGAGATGGGTACTGAATGGACATGGGAGTGAACGTGCGTCCCATGAAATTTGCTTTCTGTTAGTATTGTCTTATTACTAAGTTTCCGTAACAACCTAGCTTATAAAAGGCCCGTTTGTATCATATAAGTGGCAGTTGATAAAAGGATTGCGTTGTCTTGATCCTTCTTGCGTTCTGAAAATGAACCCACCTTTATTTCAGTCTCTTCTCGTGCTTCTTTCAACATTTTTACTTGACCCTGCTTAATTGTGGCATAAACGAAATTCTGTACTCAGTTCAAATACATTGATTAACCTGTCCATTTAGATCTGTATGTCTGCACTTTGCTTATAATTTATAGTACAATTTTGCTTAGAACCTTTGATACATTATCTATTCTGATGTTTTTTTTTTTCTGCTCTTGTTGAGTTGCCAATGGCAGATAATCTCTTTTTTCAAGCATTCCCCTTTGAATTTGCATTTTCATATATAGTTGAAGTTTTCACAACGGATGCTTGCCTTGCAACATCATTTTGATGCCTTAATGTTAGTTTTTTTAGTATGTGAAACGGCTCGCTAAAGTTGTGTTTTGCATGAGATGTTGGAACTTAACTAAGCTCCAATAATTTTTGCCCAACTATGATATTTTTGCTGTGGCGTATAATTTCTTGTTTTTCTCTTTGAAATCACTCGGGCTCACTCGTTTATGATATGTTTTTTTTTTCCTTTTATTTTTTGGCTTATCTAATTTAATTTGAATTTCTCGATTAGCTTAGAAATTGATATGTTAATTTATACTGTTATTTTACATTGACCTCAGAAATGTTTTCATGCTGACTTCTCAAAGTTTTTTATTGGCAGGTGACATTTTTAAGCCTTCATTTGTGGGTCAAACGACAGCCATGTGTTGAAGCTTTGTAACATTATGAAACTTGGTAAAACTTAAACTTCCTAACATTAATTTTTTTTAATCATTATTTATGATATTCATTTCGCCTTTCAGTTTTGTGTAGACGTTTTAATGACTAGTAATGGTACTTAGACTTAGAGTGGCTTATCATTCTTATCTATTAGGTAACTAAGGTCCTATTTGGCTTTACTTCTTTTGTCTTTTTATATTAGTTTGTTTTGTTTTTGTTCTAACATTAAAAAATATTTTTATTATTTATAAAAGAAAGATTGTTTCTCCCGTGATCTTTGCTACCCCATTCACTAGCCTTCTACATACCTAGCACAACACACTGGCATATGCCGCACCTGAGGTGCTCCAGAGACGGAGATATGACATTGTTTAACTTACCATCGAGTATAAAAAAAATGTTCAAGCTTGTTTAATCAATTAGTAAAATGATTATGAAAGAACTATAATTGAGGCGAGCTACAAGTAGTTTGTTGTACATTTGGTTCATTTGCTACCCTACTTGGCTGATACTATTGCATTTTTTTATTTGTCACTGCGAGAAAATTCAAGAAAATTATTTGTGAGAAAATCTAAGAGAATTTTGCGACCCTTCTTAACCTATTGGTTGTGAGCTTAGGCTTCCAACAAAGAGGTCCCGGGTTCGAGGTATTGTATATGTGCATGCATTTGAATTTTTAATTAGATTTATTTTTGTTTATTTTGTTTAATTTAATTTATTTTTATTTTAAACCATTGGTTGGGGCACCTAGCTGGCCCAGCCTAGTTAGTAGGAGAAGGCCTGGACCAAACCAGTCGGCCAATCTAGTAGGAGTAGAATTAACCAAGGGCTGAGCGGAAGCAGGAGGGGAGCCAGAGGGCAAATTCGGCCAGCTTTGTGGGGCCCTAGGAGAGCTGTTATGTAAGGAGGAGTAATTAAGGGAGAATTGTTTTGGGAAGGTTTTTATCAGGAAAGTTCCAAATATGTTTATTCTGTATTCGGAAGGATTTAATGAGGAACATTTTGATTAGGAAAGGTCTATTTTTTTAGAAAGATTTTCTAAATTATGTTTATGTTGATTTGGAAGGATTTAATTATTTAAAAAAGTTTACTAAATTATGTTTATGCTGATTAGGAAGGTTCTAATTGTGGTATTGTGTTCTAAGGTCATTTAAGTGAGAGATTGTTTATGGTTAAGGATATAACATTGTTGAGTTTATTTTCTTAGTGTTTGTTGTGAGTTCCTAGCTATAACACTCAAATGTTTGCCAAAAAGTAAGCAAAGTAAACATACAATTTGCTCAAAAAATGTTACCCCATTTTCTTCCACATGAAAACGTCAAGTTATTTTCATTATATTCTATTTTGAGATGCCTTAGTGGATGCATTAGTGTTTGTTGTGAGTTCCTAGCTATAACACTCAAATGTTTGCCAAAAAGTAAGCAAAGTAAACATACAATTTGCTCAAAAAATGTTACCCCATTTTCTTCCACATGAAAACGTCAAGTTATTTTCATTATATTCTATTTTGAGATGCCTTAGTGGATGCGTTATATATATATATATATATATATATAACTAAGCTCAGAAACCATCAAAACCCTTATGCTAAAGTAAAATGGAAATACAAGCCAAAAAAGGAGGCAACCTGGGAGAAGGAAGAAGACATTAGATTGAAATTCTCTAATTTGTTTGATGACCAATAAGGCAATGAATTTTGAGTACAAAATTTCAATGAGGGTTGACTTATAACACTCAAAAGTTTGTCAAAAAAATAAATAAAGTTAGCATACAATTAGCCCAAAAAAATTTACCCTATTTTCTTCCACATATGAAAAACATCAAAGTTATTTTCATTATATTCTATTTTGAATTTTGAGCATTTTGATATATATAACAGCATATATATATAACTTAATTTGCTAGTTTAACCAATTAATAGTTCAGTAACCATTAATTAATATTAAACAGTGCAGTAGATTAGTAATTAAAAGTTACTAAATATTATATTACTGTAGCCATCCCACTTAAAATTTCATGCAACGGCTTGATGAAATCTTACGGCTGGAATTTGTGGGAAATGCCTTAGTGGATGCATTAGGACATAATAATATTACATATATATTTCATTATTTGTATTAGAGACGATGTTCTATTGATATCTTATGTTTAACATATTACAATTAGATTATTTTTAATCTTAATATGCGTTTTATAAGGGGTGATTTTGTTATCTATTTGTGGTATCAACAATCACTTGAATTCATGGTGAAACTTTTTGATGATGTCAAAAGAGGGAGAATTGATTTTGTTACTGCATACAAACTTGATGCTAATAGATGCATGCTCATATGGAGAGTGTAGTTTTATTTTATGCATCTTCTGAAGATGAGTTAGTTTTTACTCATACACAAATATCAATTTTTCATTATCGAATAAGGGGAGTTTGTTAAGAGAGGAATTACATTTGATAACGCCAATTAGGAGAGTAAATGTATTAGATTTGATCCATATTAAGAGAGATAGAGATAGACCTAAAAAGACTTGGTTAGCAAAAATTAGAAATGATCATTTTTTATTAGATTTAAATGAGAATTTAACTATTAACCAGACACAATAGAGAAAAAAATTCATGTAGAAGACCCCAGGCTTAATGTTATTGTTGTTGTTGTTGAATAAGGGGAAGTTGCTAGCCTCATGAGACTGGTGATATATCACTACGTGAGATTGAAAGTTCCAAAGCATCCAATCTACAAGCCATTACAGCTTCAACTATGGCAATTGTTATTAAACACCATAGTTAAATTTGCTGTTAGGACAGTATTCATTCTAGCTGACTCAACCATTGCAGGCATATACATCACATAAAAGAACGCAAAAGATCACCAGTTCTAAGTCTGTCTCCTAGCAAGCATCAGACATCATGATAAACCATTCGGACTTACCAAAATAAATCAAATTGATTCCAAATAAATATATTTATGATTTCTTATACATTACTTACGTATTTCATCGAGCTCTAGCTAGGGTTACAAACGAGTTGAGTCTAGCTCAAGTCATGAGGTGTTGGAGCCAAGCTCAACTGTCAAATACCGAGCTCTAGCTCGAACTCGAGTGGAACTCAAAAATCGAGCTCGAGCTCGAGCCGCTCGTCGAGCCCCAAACACAGTCCGGTTCGCCTTCCAACACGCGTGGCACGATCCTCCAAAAAACTAATTTGCAGTTTTAATTTGCCTTAAAATTGCAGCAGTTTATGTGATGCC